GCGAGAGGATACTTATGACCTTCATCTTCAACGAGCTGTCTAAGAATGCGACAGGCTAGATAAGGAGCCGAGCGAGTACCGTACGTGACAGACGTAAGCAGATATGCCTAAACTTAAGATGATTCATTAACCCAGAGAATTCGTTGAAGGTCATGATCTTTGGGATGCACTTGRATTTGGCGAAACATTTTTACAATGTCCGTAATGAAAATGTACTTGTGCTGCCTGATCCACAGCAGTACATCGAAAATGTCCGTTTAAGTCTTTGGCCCAGTGTGCATAGGATCATTGAGAGAGATACCGGTTGAAGACTTAACTGAACCGTTAAAAACTACCCGCAGTTTGGTGGAGGAACTTTGCTCGCGCCAAACTCCGTGATGCGGAAAGTAATACGCCTGAGATGGCTCAGGAGCATCCTGAGGAACAGGAACCATATGTCCTAAAGACTCATATTCTTTAAGGAAATCAGTGTAGGTCTCCTTGAAATGCCTATCAGATACGAATTTCTTGAGAAGTCTTTCAAGGCATCTCATGGCAAAAGACCTTGAATGCCCTAAGGTGGATATGTCTTTCGAGAACGGCAGGCGAACCATGTAACGACCAGTTGGCAATCGAGAGTGCGTATYAACAAAGTGCTGCTCGCATTGCGATTCAACGAGACTCAAGGTTGACGTGGGGGAAAATGAGACTTCTTCCTAAACCCAGAATTTTGTTAGAGCTTTGTCAAGAGATTCGTTAGAGATAGCATGGCAAATTTCGAGAGGATCGACCTTGCTTGGGCTGGAAGTTGCGCCTAGAACTGCCCAACCGAATCTGGTTTGGAAGGCTATAGGTTCTGAGTCGCCTCCTATAACAAGGCGAGAGGACTTGAGAACTGTTCTGAGATTATCGGCACCAATAAGTATGTCAATGTGATTTGGAGTGAGAAAGTCAGGATCCGCTAATTTAAGAGATCTGAGATGAGGCCAATCTTGCTCTGATATTACAGACGACGGCAACTGAGATGTGATTTTTGGTAAAATGAATGCCTTAAGATGAATCCGAGATGACGAGTATGTCGATTGGAAGACCAAAGACACTCGACCTTGGGTCGCTCCTCGAGATGTACTACCCACACCCTGGATAGAAATGTTTCCTGGAGAACGGCTAAGCTTTAGCTTAGCTATGATTTTAAAGGAGACTAAAGTCAACTCTGATCCAGGATCAATGAGAAGACGTACTAATTTAGGCGATCCATTTAAAGATATGGCAAAGGCTTTGCTAGTAGCTAAGAGTACTRRAGCTCGAGAGCACGTTGAAAGCGACGAATTAGACGAACGATCGATGTCTGAGATAGGTGACCAGAATCTGACTCGTTTGGTCGTCTGAGAGGACCTTGAGGAAGATGAGATGGTCGATTTTAAGATGGATCTCAGAGGACGGTGTGGGTAATGAGATGTCAAACCTACGCCTCATTCTGAGGACGCCTTTTTTGAAGAGTTCTGAGAAGAACTCTTCTTGGTAAGTATGGACTTAGGTGGAGATGAATGAGTGGAAGATGACTTGTGAGAGGAGCTATGAACAGAAGCCTTTGGTTTAGATACAGGTCTGGGAGTCGATGTAACGGAAGTGGATGATGATGACTTCGGACTAGAGGATCGGCGATGAGATGACTTTTCAACCGAAGATATCCGACGATCCTCTCTCGGTGACTCATCCGACGATACCCGTGAGCCCTGCGAGGACGAGACTCTCTGAGATGTCTGTGTTGTCTCTGAGAGAGAGCTTGAAGTTCTTGAGATTGACAACGATGATCTTGATGTAGAAGGAGATGTCCTAGACGATGTTAGAGGAGATGTCCTAGACGATGTTGGAGATGTCCTTGAGATTGGTGGAGATGTTCTGGTTGTAGGAGGAGATGTCCTGGACGATGTCATCCTTTTCTCGGGATGTATGAGAGTGTGGTGCCGATATCCACACTGGTTGCATCGCCTAGTACTCCTACATTGCCTTACGTTATGCCTGCCCAAGCAGTTATAACATAGGCGCGATTCTGCTATGACTTTCTCCTTCTTCTGTTGAGTTAACATCCTGAAGAGAGGGCAAAAGGCGATGTAGTGCTTATTACTACAATAGCTGCAGTTATTGGAGAGGTCGTTGATAAACGGCAAAGGATGTTTTCCGAATGGCCTTTTATCTACTGCCAATTGAGATGATCCGGGCTTCTGAAATGTCTTCGCAGGCGTGGTAGCTACAGCCTTCACGTTCAAGGCCCAGGCATAGGACCTTATGGGGGATGATGTAGACCGTTGAGATGTCCTTCTGCCTTCCCCATAAGCCTTACGAGTCTCGATGTGTTCTAAGGCTCCGGCTGTGCTAGTGAGATAGCTCATTAGCCTTGCTTATGGTGGGAACTCGCGTGACGTTCCTATTCTTGTCTCCCAATCCTCGCGGGTTCTGTCGTCTAATGCCAGCCCCACCTGGTGGACTAGGATGTGGTCCCATTGGTCGGCCGGGCATCCCAATGTCTCTAGTGCACTTAGAGACGATGTCACGAGATTGATGATCTTGTTGAGAGATCCAGATGACCTTTCCTTAATGCGAGRAAGAGCCATTAGCCTATCGAGATGGGCAAGTATCGAAAGACGCTTGTTGTCGAACCTGGCCGACAACCGATTCCATGCGACCGCGAAGGAATCTGCAGATAGTTTCAGGTTGGCCACCACCTTGGCTGCCTCTCCCTCTAGGCTGGTCCTTAAGTAATGCAGTTTCTCAACCCGTGAGAGGTCCGGATTGTCTTTAACCATGAAGGAAAAAAATTCCTCGAAA